AAAAAAGCTCCCATAGAGTTTGCCAGGGCCCATGCTGAAAAAGAAGAAGACTACTGAGACTCTTATCTTAAAGGAGTACAAAGAAAAATACATGGTGCCTATAGTGAAACATGGTGGTACAGTGTCCTTCTGTGGGTCTGCATGAGTGCTGCTGGTGTCAGGGAGCTGCATTTCATTGATGGTATCCTGAATTCACAGATGTACTGCTCTATACTGAAAGAGAAGATGCTATCATCATGCACTTTTCCAAAATGACAATGATCCAAAACACACATCTAAGGCCACTGTTGCATATCGGAAGAAGAACAGAGTGAAAGTGATTCAGTGCCAAATATGTCTCTGATCTGAACCCAATCAAATACCTATGGGTAATTCTGAAGAGACAAGTTGAGCATCACTCTCCATCCAGCATCCAGGCTCTTAAAAGAGATTGTTCTTGAAGAATGGAAAAATATATCAATAAATGCAGTATGTCGCCAATTTGTTCATTCCATGCCTAGACTTGGCGCTGTACTTACAAATCATGGAGGTCATACAAAATACTAGATGTAGTAGTTTTTGTTGTGGTATGTATTCATTTTTGCATCAACTAATTTGAATAAAAATGAAGATTTTGTAATCTAAGTTATATTATTAGCCTTAATTTCATGCAATGAGCTAAGCAAATGTTCTATAAAAATCAGTTTTGTCAAAATTTTAGAAATTGTTCTTGTGTTCTTTGAGATATTGATTAAAATCATACTTTCCAAAAGGGGTATACTCATTTATTCTGAGCACTGTCAATATATATATATAAGACTTTCGGTTTCAATCACAAATATATTCCAAGTCCATAAAAACAAATAAAAGGTGTGCAAAGTCTGTTGAAAGCATCCATATCATGAGTAGAAAAAGCCATTGCTTGCCAGCATGGTGCAGAGGGGGACCCTTGCATTTTGTGTGTAAGCAGTGGTCACTTTGTAGGTTCAAGACACCCCTACTGAGAGGAGCTAAAACTATCCAATCAGCAGGGAGCATGAGCTTGAGGGGTGTGTTGAACTTCTTTGACTGCTTTCCAAAGAAAACTAACTACAAAACTGAAAACTTTTTGTTTTGATAGACCTGGAATGCATTTAGCTGAAAATGGTTCAAATGGTAAATTAAATTGGAGTTAAAGTGGAAAAATTTAGGTTTGACATAGTAGCCTGAGATAACCTTTGGCCCCATCATAGAATCTTTTATCCTGTATCCAAATTCACTTCCACTGGTATGAGCCATAGCTTGCTTGTTGGATTCCACCCTTGCCAGGAAAAAAACTTTTTCTGATATAGTTCATATAGTCCATAATGTACGCTACATCCAATGGGCTTTTCTTTCTGTTGATAATGTGCTGGTGGTTGTTGGGATAGTAATATTGGACATGTTTATCTATCAACAAAGAAAAACAACATAAAAATAGCATTATCTTTTGATAGTGTGATGTACAGCTGTAACGTTTCTAGGAGATCCCTGCCTTAAAATGGTTGTAAAGGCTCAAGGTTTTTTACCTTCATGCGTTCTATGCATGAAGATAAGAAACCTGCGTGTAGCAGCCCCCCAATACGTACCAGAGCCCCATTCAGCGATGTCCAGGAGAGCCTTGGTTCTCCAAGGACTCTCACTCCTGATTTGCTGAGGCAGCAGCGGGAGCCATTGGCTGTCAATCACAGCCAGTGAGGCAATCAGGAGATAGAGGGGGTGGGGATATGCCATGGCTCTGTGTGTGAATGGACGGCTTGGGAGCGCGTCTGCTTGGGGGCACACGATGGGAGGGAGGGTCCAGGAGCGCATGCAGGGGACCTGAGAAGAGGATTATCTGGGCTGCTCTGTGCAAAATCCCTGCACACAGCAGGTAAGTATAGACATGTTTTTATTTAAAAAAAAGCCAACAGTTTAGTATCACTTTAAGAGTAAGTTATGACTGTGTAATGTATTCGGTCTCTGTGACTCATTCAGAGCAAAGAGACAGATTCTCCTGATAGGGCACCCCTCTCCCCACTTATACTCAACATAGCCCTGCTCACCCATTGCTCAGTGCATCTGTGGGGACTAGGAGTCTAAACTCTGTGTAAAATAACCAGCACAAATCCTTTTTGACCTTTCTATCACTCACATTATGAATGGTGTTCAGGTATAGCAAATAGCTGCTCAGGTCTGATCATTGCATCCTGGGAGATATGCTTCCTGCATACATGGCATGGCAATGCAGGTTAGTGAAGTGATAGAGGACATAGCAAAAGTGAGCAAAGGCGGGTAGGGGCTGGCTATTAAGAAAGCCACATTAGAAGGTTTCCCATCTATTCCAGTTCTGATGACAGTGCAACATTCTGACTTTCCTGTTACACTCTGTCTAGCTGACAATCATTACTAGGAAAAATAGAGACAATATAGCTCCCCCCCCCCCCACAAAAAAAACCAACAAAAACATGGCAGATGTCAAAGGGTGAGGGTGTTGGAACCACGGGTTCTATGCAACATTTATGTGATGCCTGATGAGGAACTGCCATTCTCATTGAAAAGAGCATGTGGCAAAAGACCTCCTGCATGAACTAGCGTCACTATTGAAACTTACTGATCTTGATGCTGTTTGAATGGTGGAGACATCTGATAAATCTTTCTTCTGCCTGGAAAATAATTTGCGGTACTCTCCTCTTACCTGAACAGTAGAAATAAGAATCAAAAATCAATTCCAGTATATGTGTAACCCATTGAAATGTGATTACTAGCAGTACATTTAGATGGTGGTGGTCTGCCATTCAGGGTCAACCACATGGGCAGAACAGCTCTCTGGATCTTGTATATTGTATAGAAAGGCTTAGCTGGTGAACAGGGCAGTCAGCGACTACATTTTCCAAGAGAGGTAGTGTGTGGGCGGGGCATATAAATATCAAAGCCCAGGAGATTGGCCAGAAGAGTGCAGAGAGAGACTGAAGGAGAAGGAGGTGTGCTGACGGCTGGAGTGTTAAACTAGGCCGCAGAGCCAGAGTTGAAGAAAGAGGAAGGGCGGAAAGAGCCTACTGATCACCCAGTATGCCACGCTGCCCAGCAGACTAATTTGACAGCAGGAGACCAAACAGAATACCGAGTCTGACCTGGAGAGTCCGTGGACTGACCCTGTTTGCAGAGAGAGACAGACCGCTACGATCTGCCAGACTACTTAACTGGGTGAGAGAGACCCATCCACCCACTAACCAAGTGAATTCTGACAGTTTGCCACCCAAGCTATCTATCTACACATAGATGTGAATATCACATATAGTTGCTTCAGTTTGTGGCTTAGTTCTCACAGCCGCCATCGTTGAGATACATCTGCACTACAGTTTATTATACAAGCTGACCACAGGACGTACAGTTACAGGCCAGGATACAGCAGTGCCAAATAAAACAAGTTACCCTTCTTCAGCAAAGCAGGATTCCCATTACTGTTAACTTTTGCCTTTGATGTACAAAAGAAGCTGTCTTTGCCTATAGACATTCATGCTAATTATTGCTATTCAGTACTTCAAGCCTGCCCCATGTTCAGTGTTTTAAAGGGGACCCTGCCTTAATTCACTACCATTAAGAGGAAAATTATTAAATCTTCCTTGTTCCTTCACTATTTTTGTGTCACCATTCCAAGGAACCATATCCCACACATCAACTTAACTTCATACCAACTGGGCCCCAACGAGCATGCAGAAGACATTGTAGTATCCTTAAAGGGACAGTGCTCAATTCCGAATAGGAATTCCCTTTCCTTCACATCTAATCCTTGCCATCTAGCTCTGAGGACCCACAGTGATCGTACCTGTTTCTTGATAGTTGTTTTCTGCTCACTGGGGATTCATCATTCCCTTCACAATTGAGGCAGTGGGTTATTTCTGAAAGCAGGCCTGCTAATAGTTATTGTTGATTTGTGGTGAATGTCATTAGTTTGGCTCACAATAACCACAAGTGATTATATTTGCTGCATATATCAATGTCATTTTGTTCTTTCTGACCAAGTTACCTTAAATTCCAACATCACATTGGTTTACACTAACTTGTGTTTGAGTCCATTTTACAGTTGTGATTTACTTTGGTCACAGGAGGTTGGGTTTGTCACAAGAAGATCAGATTGATAGGGAACCCAAAACAAATGACTAAGCAACCCTTAAAGGGGTAGAGCTACATATATACACTGCCTAATTCCTTATACAGGGAATATTATGCTTCCCCCCTACCTGTAGTCCATTTTTTTAATTATTATTATAATTTATTACAGGTACTTATATAGCACCATCAATTTACGCAGCACTTTACACACACACACACACACACACACACACACATATATCGATATATATATATATATATATATATATATATATTACACTCACATCAGTCCCTAACCCTCAAACAGCTTACATTCTAAGGCCCCTAACTCACATTCAGACCGGGTTCACACTTCTGCAGTGTAGTATATTGAATACATTATTTGTGATCTGCAGCGGGTGTCAATATTAAGTTAATAATACCCCAAATGCAGGTTGTAAATGCAGTGCTTTTGTCTGCACTGGATTGCATGGCACAAAATTATCATGCAATGAGGTTTTAGTGCCTTTTAAAAAGTAGTGCATGCACTACTTTTGGTGCAATGTGGTACAATTTCAGGCCTTACAAAATGAATGTACTGAAATCACACTGCAGAGAAATGCATGTAAATTGCATGGGAATTGCACAGCGTTCCTGTGCAATTCACATTCAGTTTCTGGTGTGAACCAGCAGTGAGTCTTCTAGGTCAGTTGGATGTTGCCTGTGGATCTTATCAAGCCAGAAAATTGTCATACTGTCCCCTATGCTTTCATCAATCAATTTTGTTTCAGAAGGATACACGAAAGTACTACGAATACTGTATATTGTTAAGATATTAGACCTTCATTCATGTCTTAGAGAAGAAATAGAATATTACCTGGTGGTTGAGCAGACAGTGTACAATAAAAATGTATACTCCTTGGGGACTGTTACATATAGTGAAAAGGTATGACATTATTTGGGAAAAAGAGGCAAATTGGAAGTAGCCAATACTCCAGGTAGAGCCAAGAATGAAAGCTTGAGCCAAAGCTTTGAATATCAGTGACCTATAAAGAGGGAGAAGCAAATGAGAAATACATTGATATGTGTTTTCTGTACACTCTTCTTCATTGCTCAGCATGGGTCTAAACCCAATCACTAAAATCTCATGTAAGCATTCAATCCCAAATGAACTTTAAATTTAAAGCAGCTAAATATGTAACAGGTGCATCAAAATGAAATTTGTTCAAAGTCTGTAACTGATTTATATGTTCTTTAAAAAACAGCCACATCCACAGTAGAGCTACTGCCTCCTGCCAGCATACTGTAGAAAAGGACCATTGCTCTCTGTGGAAGCAGTGGCCTCTCTGCAGAGGTCCAACTTGTCCCCTTTAGTATCAGACCTATACCACTATGGTCAGCAAAGTTATGTTCCCTGCTGGGTGAAGAGCTCTGGCTCTGACTAAGCAGGAGTTGTGTCGGGCTTCTGTGGAGGGACCACTACTTCCATACAAAAAAAAGAAAGGTCCTTCTATGCATCATGTTTGTAGGGGTGATGTTTTTGAACTCAGGCAGTGGCTGCTTTATAAAGTAAATAAACTGTAAGATTTTATTTTTTTTTATGCACCTGAAATTAGTTGATTTAAATTTAAAGCTCATTAGGGTTTTGACATTTTAATGAAAAAGTTGCTTTCGGCTTCCATCAAAATTATATCTGGTGATCCTGCCATGAAGGTCCATGTTTACGCACTTCCTGTTTTAAGGTGACAACTGTATCCCAGTTGTGCTCATGCATGTCATCCTAAGCCAAAGTATATAGTGCCAGCACACCAAGAATCATTGAAAAAAAGGCCAAACATTTATTCGGTGATCACATCACAATGGAAAATTGCAACTTCTCAGGCCCACACAGAACTTTTTCATCAGACATGTGATGATCCTTGGTGTGCTGACAATACCTGTATATATTCTTTGGCTTATGGTACTGGTCTTCTGCTGGTAGTTGCTACAGCACACGCTTGCTCCTTGCCTTTTCCAAGAAAATGTACAACGGGAATATTGTACATGCATTGCCACCCTGTCCACTCCTTGGGGAGACTACAAGTGGCCACGTCAACAGGCATTGTGCAATCGTGTGAATAAATCAAAGAGTGTGCTAAATATAAGTAAATACAAAAATTATTAATTTAAAATAATGATGTCCGTGATAGAAAAAATATAAAAGTCCATCCACCATAACAAAGTAATTAAACAGTTCTGAAATCTTGTATAAATCAAACACTGTGCAAAAAAAATCCACCACCGAATGAAATGGGTACACTCACCAGAGCTCCATGCTGACCAGATTATAAGTCCTCCGTGAGGACGTCGGATGACGAAACTAGTAGGGCGGGGCTTCTTTTGGATGTGACGTCTTGACGCTCCTCGTAGACTGTCGGCTGTGATATCACGGTGAGCGAGGCTCGTCCTTGTTTTCTTGAGGCTGTCATTGCTGGTGTTGGCTAGACAACCTGTTTGTGAGTGCATTTCTGACGTTTTAATAAAACATTTTGGTTTTAAACGTACTGCACCATTATTTCCTTTTTTGATTCCCCGAACATGATCTATGGTATGAAGACGTGATGACTACCTGTTGTTAAAGGCTATTCCATATTGTGCTGATTGGCTGCTTGCAGTATATTGCTCCCAGTTTGGATTACTTCTGCTGATCATCGCTCCCAGAGCAAACGCTATCTTTGCTGACTTATAATCTGGTCATCATGGAGCTCTGGTGAGTGTACCCATTTCATTCGGTGGTGGATTTTTCTTTTTTTGCACAGTGTTTGATTTATACAAACACAGTGTGGCGGTGGAGGCAGCAGCAATGGGAGGCCATACAGCACCCTATGACAAAATGGAACCCACCAGCAGTGTGAGGAGACCTGAAAGTGGCACATATGCCCGACCGGCATATCACATGTGCAGGGCGCAACGGTGTCACGCTGTGCTGCACCTGGTATGCCTTGGCGAACGTAGTCACACAGGGGAGGAACTTCTGAGTGTAATGAACAGAGAAATCGACAGATGGCTGTCTCCGCGCAAACTGAAAATCGGAACCATGTTGACCGACAACGGAAAGAACATGGTGTCTGCTCTGCGTCAAGGAAGGTTGTGCCATGCGCCGTGCATGGCTCACGTGTTCAATCTGGTTGTCAAGCGGTTCCTAAAATCCACCATCCCACTGCAAGACATCCTTAAAATGTCACGTAAACTTTGCATGCATTTCAGCCATTCCTACACCGCAAAGCACACCCTCCTTGAGCTGCAGCGGCAGAACGGAATTCCACAGCATCGCCTGATCTGCGACGTTGCAACAAGGTGGAATTCAACCCTACATATGTTAGACCGCCTTTACGAACAGCGAAAGGCCATCACCGATTTCCTGATGTTACAAGCGGATAAAGGTACTCCCCTGTGTAACTTCGATGTCAGCCATTGGCAGCTCATGCGTGACACCTGCCGCTTGCTCAGGCCCTTTGAGGAGGCCACGCTATTCGTGAGTCGGCAGGACTATGGGATGAACGACGTCATTCCTCTGTTGCACGTCCTGGAACAAATGCTGTTAACAATGGCTGGTCAGGGTGCGGTAGACGTGGCGCACAGATCTCAACGCCACATGACCCCTGTGGGGGCAGGACAGGAAGAAGAGGAGGAGGTAGAGGAGGACATTGGTGCTCAGGAATTATTGAGTGAAATGGGTGGTTTTTCCACTCAGCGGACAGGAGTGGAGGAGCAGGAGCATCTGGTAGAGGAGGAGGAGGAGGAGACAGAGGACCCAGACGCACCGTGGCAGTATGCTGTGGAGATGAAGGCAGGGAGTCCCTCGCATTCCTTGGCACAAATGGCCCATAGCATGCTCGGTTGCTTGCGTAGCGACAGCCGAATAATAAGCATCAGACAGAGGGATGACTTTTGGCTGTCCACCTTGTTGGACCCTCGCTACCGTTCAAAAATGGTGGCCTTTTTCACACCTGCTGAGAGGGAGGCCAAAATAAAGTACTATAAAAACCACCTATGTAGTCAGTTGGTCTCTGCCTTTCTGTGCCAACGTCCATCCTCAGACACTGTGGGCCCTGTGCGCTCGCGTTCCGCTGCCATGGCAGCAGGGAAGGGGTGGGGTGGTAGGAGCAGTGGCAGCTCCACCAGCAGCGGCTGCCTCAGTCTGCAGTCGATGATGAGTAGCTTTCTTCACCAGCGCAGTGAGGAAACTACTAACCAGCCGCAGCAGCAGCAGCATCAGGTGGACCTGGAGCAGGACCTCAAACAACAGGCTTGGGCCTACTTGGACAGCACCCTGCCAACCGAGGTAGACAATCCCCTTGACTACTGGGCAACGAAACTTGACCTTTGGCCCCAACTAGCTGAATTTGCCCTTGAAAGGCTGTCATGCCCGGCCAGTAGCGTGGCATCGGAGCGCGTGTTTAGTGCGGCAGGAGGTATTGTAACTCCGCGGAGGACACGACTGTCCACCCAAAGTGTGGAGAGACTCACGTTTGTGAAAATGAATCAGGCGTGGATTAGTCTGGATTTCAAACCACCAGTTCCTGACACAACTGACTAAATCCGCCATGAATCATGCCCCAAACATGTTATTAGGGCCCCTGTACCGACTCCTCATGCTGCTGCCAGGCCCGTAATCTGTCATGGGCCCCTGTACCGCCTCCTCATGCTGCTGCCAGGTCCAGAGTGTGTCATGGGTCCCTGTACGGCCTCCCATTGCTGCTGTCTCCATCGCCACACTCTGCCATGTGCCACTTTCAGGTCTCCTCACACTGCTGGTGGGTTCCATTTTGTCATAGGGTGCTGTATGGCCTCCCATTGCTGCTGCCTCCACCGCCACACTGTGGCTCCACACTCTGGTTTTGGCCCCGTGACTGCCCAAATGAGTGAAGTGTGCGGAGATTCTAAGATCGACGGCACTCATCTGCATGTCATACTGACTGACAGTATTATTTCTCTTCCCCAGCAGACTCCAAGGGCATTTAAATTAAAGGTACAGTGTTCTGCACTAATATAAAGGCTCTCTGAAGCCTAGAAACACCCTTTTTATAAGTTAAATTCGCAGCGAATATATTCGGCTCGAATCAAATTTATTCCGCGAATTCGGCGAATCAGCCGAATCGAATTTTTGAATAATTCACTAATTTCTAATCTCAACCAATGATGGTCACTCATTTTCTGCCACTTATCCTAAAATACAGAAGTTAAAGTCCAAATCTGGACTTCCTCTACCTGTCCATCTTTCACAACCCACACAGATAGGTCCTTTTTTTGTTTTTGTACCTATTATTTTCAGAAGTCTTCATGTAGGCACACATACCAGAAGTCTTTAGGTAGGCACATGACATATAGGCTCCTTTTCCTCTTTAGATCAGGCCATGGCGATGGCCAATCTTCGATGATGCAGAGAACGTGCAGAAATGAGGACATCAGTGCCGCTCTCTGCATCGCCATATGTGAATACAGAAGGCCATAGTGATACTTTCTCTGTAATACCCTGTACTTAAAAAGATGTTCATAGTCTTGACCCTGAGTATTATTCCATGCAAAAGTCTGAGGACTTCCAGTGATGGAAAGCTTTAGGGGATAGCACCAAAAAGGAGATGAGTATTTCATATTACATCTTGAGGGAACCTTTTTTTTATTATATCATTGCATTGGGCTTTAAAGGCTCTAAATGTGACAAAATAAATGAATCTATTTTCTTGCATTCATTATCAAACCTTACCGAGTGTTCTTTAAAGTGGACACTTTGGTATTCAGTGAAGCCAACCTTTTTCTCAGGAGCACAACAGTGAGGATCAATAGAATTGTGTTTGCCTAAAGGAACAAAATGAATATAAAAACAAGAAAAAGACATATCATGGGATGCTGTTAACAATTTTCTAACATTTTATGACTCATTCATACCACAACACTGAGCGTTGCAATGCAAGAGTTGTTGTGCATTTATGCACACAGCATTGTGGGGAGTTAAACAGCATATTCTAAAATGAATGGGCTGAAACACAGTAACTCACAAAAAAAGGGCACACTGCAATTTATCACATACAGTATAGAATAGGCAGAGAGCATACAAGCATCGCATAACACCTTTCCTGTCATGGGTCTGCCCTTAAAACTGGTTTGAAGTATCCAATGCAAGTGACAGTGGCTTCATACTGTGTTAGATGCTTTCTTTAATCTAATAGCTGCTTATTAACAACTAATACCACTACTTACTAATATGTGTGAACCTTATGATGAAATTAGTTATATTTTTATTTTTTCTAGATTTGGAAAAGTACAAATACATTTTTGTCATGTTACAACCAAAAACGTAAATATATTTTGTGTGATAGACCAACATAAAGTTGCACATAATTGTGAAGTGGAAGGAAAATGATAAATTGTGGTCAAACTTTTTTACAAATAAATATCTGAAAAGTGGGGCGTGCATTTTTATTCAGCCCCCTTTACTCTGATACCCCTAACTAAAATTTAGTGGAACCAATTGCCTTCAGAAGTCACCGAATTAGTAAACAGAGTCAACCTGTGTGTATTTTAATCTCAGTATAAATACAGCTGTTCTCTGATGTTCTGTGAAGGTTTGTTAGAGAACATTAGTGAAGAAACAGCATCATGAAGGCCAAGGAACACACCAGACGGGTCAGAGATAAAGTTGTGAAGAAGTTTTAAGCAGGGTTAGGCTATAAAAAAAAAATATCCCAAGCTTTGAACATCTCACAGAGCACTGTTTAATCCATCATCTGAAAATGGAAAGAGTATGGCACAAACTGCAAACCTACCAAGACATGGCCGTCCACCTAAACTGACAGGCTGGGCAAGGAGACAACTATTAGTTCTGCACTCCACAAATCTGGCCTTTATGGAAGAGTGGCAAGAAGAAAGCCATTGTTGAAAGCAAGCCATAAGAAGTCCCGTTTGCAGTTTGCGAGAAACTATATGGGGGGACACAGCAAAGTTGTGGAAGGGGCTCTGACCTCACGACGTTGTCTCGGATAAGCATGGCGAGTATAGCAGAGACTGCAGGCCATGCGGACATTTTTTCTACTTGCTGCAAATGTTTTCCTACTTGCTGCAAACGTAATCAATGTGAGTGGTATATCCAGCAGTAATAAAATACATCTTTAAAAAGGATAAGGCACCATGGTTTCTTTTTCCCTTATGTTATCCATCCGTGATATACTGGAGAGAGATTGATACAGGAGGAAGGAGACCCCTGGAGGGGAAAAAGGTAGATATCTATCCATCCATTCATTCCTGACAAGCATCAGTCACATTCACTGCAGAAACCCCAGGTGGATTAAGATTCAATTACAACCATCTATTTGCCATTCGGAAAACCCCATATAGGAGGATTATCTCATCAGTCCTGTAAGGACAAAAAGCCAGTTTTGCCTATTTTTTTAGGCCAAACGTAAGGTGAGCGCATATTAAGACCACACTGCACTTGGATTGTGGGGTAGTATTTCACCATTGCAATTCACATTGGAAGAGGACTTTTTTATGTGTATATTTTTTATGTGTATATATTTATTGATTTTTGCTCACCATTAGATTTCACTTATGATCACAAGCACAGTTATGGTGTATCAATTTTTATGATGTTATAGGCAATAGATGATCAATTCCTGCATCATATATTATATTTTATATGTTATATTTTATTTTTTAATTTTCATTTATTTATATTGTTTGATTAGATTATCACACTATTACAGATAATTTATATAGGAGCGCGGCACTATCAGTACATTTATTTTTTATGTGGAAGAAGGTGCTCTGGTCAGATGAGACCAAAATTTAACTTTTTGGCCTAAAAGCAAAACACTATGTGTGGCAGAAAACTAACACTGCACATAACCCTGAACACATCAACCCCACCGTGAAACATGGTGGTGGCAGCATCATCATATTGTGGGGATGCTTTTCTTCAGCGGGGACAGGGAAGTTGGTCAGAGTTGATGGGAAGTTAGATAGAACCAAATACAGAGCAATCGTAGAAGAAAACATGTTAGAGTCTCCAAAAGACTTGAGACTGGGGTGCAGGTTCACCTTCCAGCAGGACAATGACAATAAACATACAGCCAGAGCTACAATGGAATGGTTTAGATCAAAGCATATTCATGTGTTAGAATGGCCCAGTCAAAGTTCAGACCTAAATCCAATTGGGAATCTGTAGCAAGACTTGAAACATGCTGTTCACAGATGCTCTCCATCCAATCTGACAGAGCTTGAGCTATTTTGCAAAGAAGAATGAGCAAAACTTTTACTCTCTGGATGTGCAAAGCTGGTAGAGACAAAAAGACTTGCAACTGTAATTGCAGCAAAAGGTGGTTCTACAAAGTATTGACTCGAGGGGGCTGAATACAAATGCCGCCACACTTTTCAGATATTTATGTGTAAAAAAAATTTTGAAAACCATTTATGATTTTCCTTTCACTTCACAATTATGTGCCACTTTGTCTTGGGCGATCACATAAAATCCCAATAAAATACATTTATGTTTTTGGTTGCAACATGACAAAATGTAGAATATTTTAAGGGGGATGCATACTTTCTCAAGGCACTGTATATATATATATATATATATATATATATATATATATATATATATATATATATACATACACATACACACACTGCTCAAAAAGGAACACTTTGAAAGCACATCAAATCTCAATGGGGAAAAAATGTCATGCTGGTTATCTATACTTATATGGACTGGGTAATGTGTTAGGAATGTAAGGATGCCCCATCGTTTGATGGAAATGAAATCTATCAACCTACAGAGGACTGAATTCGAAGACACCCTCAAAATCAAACTGAAATATGATGTAGCAGGCTAGTCCATTTTGCTGAAATTTCATTGCAGCAACTCATAATCAGTAGTTTGTTTGGCCCCCACGTGCTTGTATGCATGCCTGATGACGTCGGGGCATGCTCCTAATGAGACGACGGATGGTGTCCTGGGGTATTTCCTTCCAAATCTGAACTAGGACATCACTGAGCTCCTGGACAGTCTGAGGTGCAACCTGTTGGTGTCGGATGGACCAAAACATGATATCCCAGAGGTATTCTATTGGATTTAAGTCAGGTGAGCGTGGGGGCCATTCAATGGTATCAATGCCTTCATCCTCCAGGAACTGCCTGTATATTCTTGTCACATGAGGTTGGGCATTGTCGTGCACCAGGAGGAACCCAGGAACCACTGCACCAGCATATGATCTGACATTGGTTCCAAGGATTTCATCCCATATCTAACGGCAGTCAGGTGCCATTGTCTAGCCTGTAGAGGTCTTTGCGTCCCTCCATGGATATGCCTCTCCAGACCATCAATGACCCACCACCAAAACAATCATGCTGAACGATGTAATAGGAAGCATAATGTTCTACATGGCTTCTTTAGACCCTTTCAGGTCTGTCACATGTGCTCAGGGTGAACCTGCTCTCATCTGTGAAAAGCACAGGGTGCTAGTGGCGGACCTGCTAATTTTGGTGATCAATGGCAAATGCCCTCAGGCCACCCTCATGAAGTCTGTTTCTGATTGTTTGGTCAGAGACATTCACACCAGTGGCCTGCTGGAGGTCATTTTGTAGGGCTCTGGCAATGCTCATCCTGTTTCTCCTTGCACAAAGAAGCAGATACCGGTCCTGCTGATGGGTTAAATACCTTCTATTATTTATTTATTTATTTATTACAGGTACTTATATAGCGCCATCAATTTACACAGCGCTTTACATATATATTGTACATTCACATCAGTCCCTAACCCTCAAGGGGCGTACAATCTACGGTCCCTAACTCACATTCATACATACACATACTAGGGCCAATTTATACAGGATCCAATTAACCTACCAGCATGTCTTTGGGGATTGTGGGAGGAAACCGGAGTACCCGGAGGAAACCCACGCAGGCACAGGGAGAACATGCAAACTCCAGGCAGGTGGTGCCATGGTTGGGATTCGAACCAATGACCCTAGTACTGCCAGGTGGAAGTGCTACTTCTATGACATTTTACAGCTCTCCTAGAGTAACTGTCTGTCTCCTGGAATCTCCTCCATGCTCTTGAGACTGTGCTGGGAGACACAACAAACCTTCTGGCAATGGCACGTATTTAAGTGCCATCCTGAAGGAGTTGGACTGCCTGTGCAACCTCTGTAGGGTCCAGGTATCGCCTCAAGCTACCAGTAGTGACACTGACCCTAGCCAAATGCAAAATTAGTGAAAACAGTCAGAAAAGATGAGTAGGGAAAAAAATATTAGTGGCCTCCACCTGTAAGACCATTCCTGTTTTGGGGGTCATCTCATTGTTGCCCATCTAGTGCACCTGTTGTTAATTTCATTAACACCAAAGCAGCTGAAACTGATTAACAACCCTCTCTGCAACTTAACTGACCAGATCAATATCTCAGGAGTTTAATTGACTTGCTGCTATACTCTGATTAAAAACAATTGCTATATATAGTGATTGAGCTTACATATGGCATTTGTTAGGGATTTGTTTCACGACACCTTCCCATAGGTTTCCTGTAGATTTGAGATCTAAAGAGTTCATAAAGTATGTCGGTTCTTTTTACTGTAATATTTCTTCATTAAGACATAAATATAGGGAACTACATTATATTAAATATACATATTGTATTCAGATACATGTATCACTATGATTATTATTATTTTATTTTTCAAAAGATAGATGGATACACTTCCCTTCCCCTAAGATCTACCATAAATTCCAAGGTAATTATACACTAGGAATGAAGCCGTTCCTTGGCCAATTTGAAGGACTCTCATAGCTTCCAGCATTGAGCTACTACTATACTAATCCAGCCCTTCACAGAAGGAGAGGTAAAAAAAGCTGCTCTTTTTGGAGACAAATGACTGGGCAGGAGACTTCTAAAGCACACATGAAGATCACTCTGAGGAAAACACACACAGACACACACACACATTTTTTATCTCAAGAACATAATTACATTTCTTTACTTTGTTTTATATTCTGTATATTTATTCTGTCAAATTATGTGATTTTGTTATTAAACATATATTTTATTTTTACACAAGAATGGAAGGGCAATTCAATTTAAGCATACCTCACAAATAAAATGTATTTCTGTACATTTATGAGACATTTACAAAAATGACATTTTAATATGCTGTTTAAACAGGATCAATTACATAGATTTCTTCTATGCGGGCCAAGGGGGGATCTCTTCCTAGAAGTTTTACTTGACAAGACAGTTTTTAAAGAGGTATTTGTGAGTACAAGTCTATGGCTTATTATAATATAAGAGTTTATGAAGGTGTCATATGATGCTCTATAGTTTTCCCAAAGATTCTTAGTAAGGAAGGAAGGTAGGAAGGAAGGAAGGAAGGAAGGTAGGTAGGAAGGAGCAAAACTGTGGACACCGTATTTTAGATACACAATGGTGATTTTGAACTGAAAGAACACTTTTCAAGAATTTCTTTGCAGGATCATATCCTTTTATTTCATTTAAGTGCCGACTGTTTGTATCTAGTTGCATTTTAGCACAGTGCAAAACTCAAGACACTATGCATTGTCCTATGCTTTGTTGCCCTATGTTATGGAAGTGCACATATGCTATGGATGTGCTATGGGTTCCACACACCAACAAAACACAAAGGGGTGAATGGACCCTACTGCAGTTCAACATTTTTCCATCATATATTGTCACTGTGGCAACAGTTTTATGAGACAGGAAAAAAATAGCTAGAACCTTTGTTAGCCTTATTGCTGCATGGACTTATTCATACAAACAGAAAGGTTAATTTGAACATACAAAATATATATAAGTAAAGTGCTGCATGAATTGACAGCACTACACTGTATGTGTATAAGTACCTGTACAATTAATAATAAATTTACAATTTGCACAACACCTTTTCCAGGTAATTAATGATGCCTCTCCACAATGCTAGAGAGTCAATGCTTGCCAAAAGTCCCACCATTTTTCATAGTTCTGTGGAACTACTCTAAAGTGGACAGAGTTCACGTCATTTTTTAGGGGGAACTGAGGGTATGGCTTGTTACTTGAATAAGACAGTACATATGATGACCCAAGAGTACTTACACTGATGACTACACAGACTGGACCAAGGAAACTCCAGACAAGACTTGGATGAAGCCAGCAACTGGAGAAGACAGAAGCATAAAAAACTGTCACGGTGAATTAATGTTATTACATTGTCCATGGAAATGTTTCTTAAAATCATGAGACTATTCCCATTGATAGATCCTGACCTAATGTGGGTGATCTTAGCAAAGAACTATATTTTAAAGTGTATGGAAAATCATTTTGCAGCAGACATAGCATTTACAGTAATTCAAACAACTTACATCAATCAAAGTTTAATCTTTACTGTTATAGTACTACTATAAGAACTAATCTTTATATTCCTGTTTAATAAATTTATATAAATACCTTTCCAACATCAGTTAAGCGCAACAAGTTCCTTACTGTGGAGCTTCTTTGTTAACAAAGCTTTATTGTATGGTACCTGAAACATGGTTCTTAAGGTCTATAGATGTATTATAGTGCTCAGTTTCCCTGCTAAATTTAAATGCACTTTTACACGTGTCTACAGTCTGCATTACTTGAGAAATAAATGTGTAAATGAAAAATGTGTGTTATGTTGATTTCCAGCCATTAAACATTGAAGCAATAGTTTTTTTAAAATTACATCTTAATGAGCTTTTGAAACAAAAGTTTTATCACCAAAAATACTGTATGTGAGTTATTTTTTATCTATATGTGTTAGGACCAGGGGCGGACTGACAACTCATGGGGCTCCCGGGCAATAGGGGATCATGGGGCCCCTGTGTCCTTGCCCAAACTCAAAAAAGCCTATGAAAAAGGTATTAGGGGCATCTGATGGAGCCCCCTACTGACCCTGGGTTTCCAAATGGTCAGTCCGCCCCTGGTTAGGACCCAGCATTTATTGTGTTTATAATATTTATAGTATTTATAATATTTTATATAATATATTTTTTAAAATAATATTTTTAGGTAGTAGTAATCATAACGCTGCTGGAACGTCATCTCATGAGATTTGGGTTACCCGCATTCTCCAAGATATCATTGGAAGGGTGGTGACATCACTTCCCTCAGTACTGAAGGTGGGAGAAAGATAATTATATTAAACAAATTTTAGCCACAGCTTTATATTTCTATTTTTAGGATAGCGTTTCTAATCTTAGTGTAGCAAAGGGAGGAGCGGGGGATAGATGCCAAACAAAACCATAGCATTCAACCTAAACTTTTATATAACCTTATACTTGTAATACTTTCATATAAAAATCTAATGTGGCAAAACAAACCTATGACATCATAATATCACAGTCAAACTTATTGGCACCATTATAAAATATGCCCCAAAATTGCTGCCAATGTAAAACATTAATCATCTTTTCCATGGTAATAATATAAAATAAAATAGCAAAACTTACTATTTGAAAGAACAATACTTTTTGAAACCAACAGCTACTGTGACCCCCACAATCACAGTTGGCACTCCGAAGGCTAGAATACACATGATAGAAAATCTTGAGCGCTGAGAGGTCATATAATTGACTGCCCGCAGGTTTCGGACTGTCATGAATAGGAGAATGCTCTCCATAGACATCCAAGAGAATGCACATAGGAACAAGAAATGGAGTCCACCAGCAATGATGCTGCACACGAGCTGAATAAGTAAGAAAACAACAACTGTAATTACTTTTTTTTTCTAAATCTGTTGGATTTTAAAGTGCACCTGTTGTCCTCCCATCACCACCACCAACATCACCCCTAGTACCACATATTCACCTTTTATGTGCTATCCTTACCATTTTGCAGCTGCAAGGCACACAAGATGCCCCATGAAAGCTACACAGCATTCATATCACTACCTGAAAGTAGCTATGTACCCTACTCATATGGCAGAACTGGTGGCTAGTCCAGCCCACATGGATTGAAACACATTCTCCTCTATACCTGGGTGTTTTGTTTGCTCCCAGCAGTTGAACTCATTGGCAGGGGACTGCAGGACAGGTTAAAATATCCAGCTGGTGAGAGAGGATTAAAATAAAGTAATGGCTTTGCTCTGCATAGGGAAAAGGCAGAGCATTGCTTTAAGTCTTTTTGAAAATTAAAGCTGATTTTTTTTTAGGAATGCATGTTTTTTTTTTTTTTTTTCCATTTGCATTTTTAACATGCATGAAGAAAAGGTGAGCAAAACAATTCATTATGGTAGAACAGAAAAATGACAAAAATGTTAAATATTGGATGATGCTCCTCATTTTAAAAACCCACTTATGGGTTGCCTTTCATGGACTCAAAGCTGAATGAGAGGTTTCTGTGAAGTATATAATAAATATATAATTCACCACAAGTAGCTGTAAATACTAGTGAAAATTTTTTGGCATCTCTAAAAGTTATAATGAGACAGTGGACGTGCTAATCTGCCGCCAACAGAAATCTATTTTTGTTAGACTTATACTTTAAAGAGGTTTTTAACTAGACGTTGCAGATATGTAGGTCCCCCTCTTATGACCTTGCTCATTAGAAGTTCAGCAGCTCTAAAGCTAATGCTATTCTTGGAGCTGTAGGTTCTACACAGCATTTTAGAAGATTTGTTTTTAATAGTTAGAAAAACGTAAGAAACTTCAAATGCAATAGCAGACTTTGAGCTTTTTAGTGGCTCATTTCAGGCAGCCAGTTGGCAGTAGTGATGAACTATCAAAGCAAGGTTCAGTTGGCTGGATGTTCGCAGCACCTTTGAACAAAAATGCAAACCCCAAACATAGCGCCCAAACCCCAGTGAAGTCTGCAGAACTTGAATCTTGTAATTTTTTTCTGACCTTTTTAGGGCCATTTGCAAGTTTCTTGCAATAAAAGGAGCATGAGTAGCTGGGCACTGCTATCGGAGACATGTATCAATACAAAAATAATTTTTTTTAACAAATACAACACAAGAAGCAACAAAAAAACCATGGAATTACATTAAAAGCTGGAAGAATGCTTTAAACCTGTATGTGAACTGGGACCCCTTGGCAAGGTACCCTTCTAATGTTAAAGGCATGTGACCTAGTATGTTTTGGGTGAAAATGACATGCTCGCTGGCCCTCCCTTTCCTGAATAAGAGTCTGGTATGGATTTTGAGTTGATCCTTACGTCTTTTTTTTGTTTGTTTGTCCCCGTTAAAAATTGATACCAGACTCCTATATAGAATAAGGGTCTGGTATGGATTTCGGTGGAAGCCCATGCCACTGTTTTTTTTTTGCATGGGTCCTTTGTAAAAATTTACACCCAAATCCTATCTAGGATGAGGGTATGGATTTTAGAGGAGAGCCCAAATCATTTTTTTGCATGGTATTCTCCATAAAATCTATACCAGACCCTTGTCCAACTATACAGCCAGGCTAGTCAGGAAATGGATGGGGGGCAGCAAGTGTGCATCTCCTCTCTTCCTGTATCATACACATGCCATCATACACAGGTCAGATGCCCTCAACATTGTGAGGGTACCTGTTCAGGGGCCTATCATCATCCCAACATCTCGCCCCCATATCTCTGTGTCAGTGAAAACTGGGGTCTGTGGGGGGTGTACTGTAGAACGGGGGGCAGATTTCCTGCCCTCCCCCTATGTTAATGAGTGCATAGTACCCCTTGTCACTCACAAAAGAAAATCGACAAAGTAAATAAGAACATAAACTCCACAGAAAAAATATTTTTAATGCATGTCCCTCGATGCAAATACAACATCAATCACATCATCCAACGATGTTGATTCATCATTCATCATGATAAATATCACACTGAGGATCTGCTGACACAGTAGTTGAATGTCAACAAGTCAGCTAGGGATGCTGGCTAATGTTATTGACCAAATATATTCATGACCATATTTGGTTGCAAACGTTATTTGTCCCAATTTGAAGGAAGGTGGCAAGTGGGCATCCAGAAGATGTCATTTAGTGGTGGTGGTAATGCCACTACTACATGAATAGCTTCCGGCTGCAGCAAGTCAGTCTGGCCATATCTGGCCATTTAGTTATCCTATTTGGAGATCTTTAAACAGCTTGGGCTCTGGTCAAACTTTTGGAGGACCCAAACCCAAAGCTTATCCCTATGTCAGGAATGGACTCGGCACTGGTGGTGGGACTTACCTGCAGTGTGGGCTGCAGTACCAGGGCTGACCAGCGGGTGCTCTCAGCAGCCAGAAGCTCACTTCTGCAATCAGCCAAACCTGGGGCTGATTGCAGAAGGTGTATTTAAGGCATGACCAGGCCTGTGATCTGGGCCTTGGTGTATGTTTTCCCATGAGCCTCTGTACCTGGTATCCTGTGTTCCTGCTTCGTTGCTGACCCTGCTTGATCCTGACCTCTGCTGACCGTCTCCTGTTGAACCCCTGGCTTGCCTGACCATCCTTCTGCCTGATCCCCTGTACCGCGCTGCCCGTGAGTTACTGAACCCGGCTTGTGACCCTGACCATTCTCTGCCTGCTCCTTTGGTACCTTGCTGCCCGCACATTGCTGACCTGGCCCGTCTGACCACGCTAACTACTCTGCCATCCATCCATCCTGCACAGATCCAGCCGTCCCTGCTCACACCTTCTGCCTCTTCACATCAGGCTTCCTACCTGCACATACCTCTGGCGGATCCCTCTACCACTAGCAGGTGTACTCAGGGGCCGCGACCTGGTTCCTGTCTGCTCCAAGTCCATCCCCACCATCAGGGGCCCTGGTGAATAAGCAGACTGGGACTTAGACTCCGCGCCCTGGGGAATCCTGTCCTGAGGACCGCTAGAGGTACCACCAAACGGTCATTACAGAACCCTACGGCCGGCCTGACCATTCCACCTCTCCAGCCCTGACTACGCCTGTGTTCCTGCACCTACTAAGATTAGTGGAAGGTTGGTTTGTTCACTGTGCGTTTATATATATATATATCTGGGTGGCTAATAATAAACTGTATTATTATACTATACCTGAAACCTGCGTTTCCCTGTGTCTATCCACACCTTTCTGGTCATTACTAGATTCCTGACACCCTAGATGTCAGCAATTTAGGTAGCCGCTAGGGCTAGACTGGCCATTTGGGAACGCGGGCACTGCCCGAGGTCAGTAGGGGGCCTCATGAGATGCTCCTGGTACCTTTCATAGGCTTTTTGGGTGTGGTTTGAGTGTGGACAAGGACACAAGGGCGCCATGATCCCCTATTGCTCGG